CTAAAGGTCCCTTCCAGCTCAAATGATTCCATGATTCTGTGGTTCTATGGCATCACAGTGCTCTCAGAACTAGTTCCAGCTCTCTAGTGATTTCATTTCCCAGCATAGCATTATCTGTAGTTGGGTGCTACAGTGAGATACTTAGCTTTCAGCTTCTAAAGATACACATATTAGAATAATGTGTATTTAAACTTGCAGGGGGAAATGAAAGATTTTTATTTAAACAAAAAGAATAGGCAGAATTCGTTGTTGTATGCCATTTTGTGGCACTTGTTGGGCAGAAAAGAACATAGCCATTTTGATGGATATTTATGTTAGAGGTATTTACTGTAACTGCTCTTATTACTGCTGAATAACGGAGAGCTGTACTAAGCTTGCTAGTAATTACCTGAAAATCAAGACTCTTGTGGCTTTGGTTCAAAAATAAACAAGCTTTGTATCTTGAGTGACCATTCTAATGATATTGCAGAACATTGTTAATGAACACTATTTATAGTGCCTCATATGGGTAGTTGTACTTGACAAAAGTCAGAGGAAAAGAGGGTTTTTGCTCTGAAGAGTTTGTAGTTTAAGTTAAGTGTGCAGAACAAAGATACACATGGAATGCAGAAGCACACTCTAGATGGTGAGAAGGAGTGCAGTGATGACTGAATACTAAGTGGAGAAAAGAATGGAGTTTGAGGGTGCATTTGGAAAGCACATGCTAGGTGGTGAGTCTCTTTCTCCAAGTCTGTCTGTCTCTCTCAATTAAGAAACATTTATTGTTGACCTGAGATGAGAGTCTACTTAATGGTTTTCAGATTGTCTTCCTGACCATGCTTGTTTCAGCAAAATATCTTAGAACAGACTTGTAAACAAGCATTCTGTTTTGGATTGGGTTGGTGAGGTTTTGATGTGTAGGGTGTTTTTTTTCTTTCTTCTGTTTTTTTTTTTTGTTTTTTTTTTTTTTTTTTTTTTTTTTTTTTTTTTTTTTTTACCCTGTTAATTCTGTAGTTGAAAACAAAAAGCAAGCTGTGCATTAAGTTGTGTATATCACAGTCTTGTGATATAGGAATTATAGTCCTTGTTCATTATTAGGTTTTTGGCACCTGACGATTCCCTTGGGAGAATGTCTCCTTTCTAGCAGCAGATACCATTGTTAAGAAAACAATAGGAAATTATTCTGTATCATCAGTTTTTATTTTTTGGAGGAGGTCTTTTCATCATCTGGGTATTTGAAAATCTTTTCTGTAGAGGAGATAAGCCAGTGAATACGAGTCAATTACTCTGTATAGAATAAGACTATATGTAATATAACTACAAACTTCTGTGACTATAGTCTCTATTAATTTTGTTTTTTCAGAAACTCCCTCTCTGTTCTTCCAGTTGATGCTTTTATTTTTTTATGATATTGTCGAATAATTGTAGCAAACTTCTATTTAGAAATTTTTGCTAAAGGTTTGTTACAAACCTTACTCAGTTGTGATTCTGAATAACTGAGCCAGCATTTTTTAAATTTATGGTTTTACAGAGGTGGATGTTCTTTCACTGTACTACCATGAGTATAAACTCTTTATACAAACCTATTTGCATTTGTTAAGCTATGATTTCCTGATGTTCCTCTGAGTTGATGACAGTGAGTTAGTTATTAAAAATAAGATTTTAATAGTGGTCTCACTGTATCTCTTATTTCTTGAAAGGTGGTTGTGGAATTTTCATGCATGGTATCGCTATTGTTATCCCACTCTACCCCCTGCTGGCTGCACAGTAGTGTTAATTAGGTTATCATATGGAACAAGTAGCTGTTTTAAAAGGGAACTAGATTTATAGCAAAGAGTCAAGGTAAAAAAGATGGTGTAGAAGGCATCTAGAAAGATATCTTTGGAAAAATAGAGTTGTGAAGAAATTGAATTATTTTACATCCAGGAAGAGTATTCCGTATCATGAACAGACTGGGAGAAGGAACTGGTTGGTGAAGCTCTTTTGGGTATGTTCATAATATGTGCTTTGATCTAGGAAGCTTCCTCACATGCTGTTGTGTCCATTTAATAGGACACCCTTACTGCTTTGCAAGCTCACAGTTTAAAGCATAGCCCATGCCAAAACAGGTGTTATGTAGATGCAGTGACAGCTGGTGTTGGGTTACTTGGTATGCTTTCATACTATTATTATTATTATGACAACATAAGGGCATAACCACACAGAATGCTTATAGTAAAACATGGTTTCTGCACATGCTGAGCTTACTAAATGACAAGCTAACCTTTTAATTGGGATGCTTTTCGATCTGAAAGCAAGCCTCACTGGAATGAGAAGTGTAATACTAGAGCAGACTCCTTACCTATCTTACATGTTACTAGACTTAAACATGTAGCTTATTCAGTGACAAAGGCTGAAATCATTCCTCAGCTCTCCCTTTTTGTCTCTTTAATAGAAGTACAATATGATACCATGAAATCAGTCACATGATTAAAAGAGGAATGAACATTACTTCTTGATGCTCTCTCAATTCCATACAGTTGGTCAACATCTTTCTTGAGTGTGGCTCTCATTGGACGAAATGCTCCTACCTTCCCAGTGCTGAGAACGAAGGACTACTTCACATGTGCAGCAGGCTGTATTCCTGCTCAATACACCCAATTGTGGTGTTTTCTTTTTGTTTGCCAGAGTTTGCTGGTTTATGTTCAACTTCTTATGTTCAACTTATGTCATCTTCCAGAATCATCCAGATCATTTTCTTTAATGCTGACACCTGGCTGTTTTTTTTTTCTTCATCCTTTGTTTGCAGTCACTTAATCTTGTCTACAAGTAGAGCCCTGTATTTATCCCTATAAAATTGCAGCCTTTTTTTTTCTTTAGACCATTTCTGTAATTAGTTAAGATGATTCAGGTTTCTAATCCTGTGCTGCAACATGTTTTCAACCCTCCTAGTCTTTTTTATTTCAAGTCATAGAGATCTAATTACATTAAAGTAGCTTGTTTATTAGTACAAAGTCAGCACTGAATATGTTTTGGTCTGGTTTATCCTCTTTACATACTTAAAATATCTTTAATTATTGCTCTTAATTGGAATGATTTAAATGCTGATGCTAAAGAGAAAATGTTTCATAAAAGCATGCCTCGCAAGAATTTGAGACATGTCAGAACCCCAAACCAAGCCTAACATACATTTTCTCATTATTTTAGAATACTTTTTTTTATCTTGTAATATACATTCCTCATTATTTTAGAAGACTTTTAGTCGAATTTAACACAGAAATAAAGGTGAATCAGTAGTAGTATTATGAAAAGTCTTTCAGATTCTTTTATATTATTCTGAAGCTATTGCTGTGTCTTTGAAATGCAGAAATGACGTAGTTTGTACTTTCGCAGTTACAAATTAAATGGATTAACTTTTCCAGCTGTATTAATTGAACTCTTGTCAGGGAAAAAACTCCACTAAGAAACAAACTTAAAACCCAGCAGGATTTAGCTACATATATATACACCTCTGAGGAAGCTGGGACAGTATTTCCACAGAAACTTACATTCTTGTCAGTTACCTGTATATGGTAGCAACATTGATGGTCTTATTGTTTAGAAACATTCAAGACAGCATAGTATTTCTGTCCTGTACAGGAGCACTGGCTATCCTTTTATGTGGTCACAGTATGTCCATAGTCAGCTTGGAGGAGAACATAGCTTTTTCTGCATTTCCAAGTGTCCAAAATGGTGTTTTTTTTTTCCATCCCTCTCCTCCTTGTTTTTGTGTCTTTCTGCCACTCTGTAGTATCTTGCTTGACACCTGGTAACTCCATCAGCTTCCCCAACCAATGCTTTCAACAGCAAAGGTCCTGTCTGGCTCCACCCAGTAAGTCAAACTGACTGGTATCTGGGAAGCCCATCACTTTGGTGTTCTCGCTGCAGTCACATTCTGCACTGCTTCCTAACACTGCCCTCTCTTCAACAGCCATGAGATCTGTTTCTTGCTACACATCTGACTTTGTTCTAGTTCTGTGGGGTACTTGTACCAGGCCTAATTTCTCTGGCCCGTACTCTCTGATTTCCTGGCCCTCAGTATTGTCCTATGAACTTGCCTGACTTGTTGCTACTCTAAATTCCTGCACATGCCTTTTAATTGATACTCAATTCAGTTCTTTTTATATTATCTACCAGAACTTTGAGTGTCATCCTGTTTCTTGTCATCTGTTGTAAGATGGCCTGGTTTGTGCTTTTTTTACCATTTGTTATTTGCAGGCATAAATGCTTGTTTTTAAACCAGATGTTACAGATGTGAACTTAGTATAATAGGTGAACCTGCTTGTGCATGCATAAAATTGTAACAACTTTATTAATGTTTGTGCTAGCAGATCGTACATGCAAAACATGAACTGACATTTGTAAATGGGAAGCTGTCTAGTTGCATAAACAGAAATATGAAGTATATTTGAGAGTTATTATCCATCTATACAGATACATGAGAGTTAGACAAGAGTTTTAGGAAGTATTTGACATATTGGTGATTGTTGCCACTTTTGTACTGGTATTATAGAACAGACTTTTCAAACAGCTGTTACATGTATGTATTCTTTTGACAGTTAATAGGTTTGGGTTTGTCTAGCTTGGTTTTGTTTTCATTTTATGATTTTATGGTAAATTAGATTAGCTTGGTTAAATTAGCTTGTCTGAGATAGGCTTTGTAATTTTTATTTTTCTAATTCTTAGTGCTATTTGCTAAATATGACACTATACCCTGTAAATCGATATTTGAAATTCATATTTTATAGATAACATTTTATGTCTCTACAGGAGATCTGTATTGCAAAGCATAATGAGAAGATCCAGCAGCATCACCAGAGTGAGGAGGAATACAAAATGCACCATGCTGCTAAGCTAGTAAGTTTGAATTTTCTGCTCTTGAGTTCAGCCTTTAGTTAATAGCTTGCATTCCTCATTATACGTTAATTAGGAGACCATTCAGAGTGATAGCTGTTCTAAAAAGATGGTGTGTATCCCTGACATTTGCACCATGGATTTCTGTATCATATTATGCGGGTAAGGGGGAGTATATAGCTGTGTTAGGATGATGTTGAACCCAAGCAAATAAAACAGTTCTTAATGCTAAGTTCACTGTCTAAGTGATTACTGCTAGGGTTAGGCTGCATGCAGTTTGTTACCACGTGCACATAGATTATTCCAGACATCTCCAAGTACACTGTTAGATATGCTGAAATGAGTAAGGAAACCATACATGTTTATTCACAAATCTTAATAAGTTCGTTCTTCTGCTTCTTACTACAAAAGAAATTGCTTGGATTGAGTTGTGTAAAGATGCAGTTCCAGCTGTATGCTCCATGATTCTCTGCACCGTTTCATTGCAGAGAATAGGCTAGCTAGTCTAACTCGTGGTGAACATAATAGACTTTATCTTAAAGAATATTCGAATTCTGGGCTAGATCTTGGCAGCTGATATAGTATCAATATTTAATAAAGATCACTGACAAAGATGCATTGAAATCCAAGTCTCTTTAATTCAGGCTTCAATTAGATTAGTGAAAGTGATTCTATTTCGTCTTTATACATTTTTAACATTGATACATTTGTCCAGGAAGTCAGCTGCATAATTTATTTTATGAAAAGGCTACTTGTGAAAGACAGTACATATTGGCATACTCGTTCAGAAACTTAGAAAAATACTTTTTTTTTTTCCTAGTTCTTACAATAAGGCAAAGGAATTTTCTGTGTGGATTGTAGTCCATTTATCACTCTTAAAAATAAGACTTGACAAAGCTGAAGGACTTTCTTGTCTGTCAAACACCACAGGGATTTTTGTTATTTATTTCATGGAGTTGCTCACTTGCATTATATAAAAAATCTTATGTTAATTTTTTTGTCTTTTTTTTCTGTTAATAATGTGCCTGAAAATTTCTACTATTGTTGCACGATAGGTTTTCAGCCACTGTTTTTCATGAAGGATTTTGAAAAGATAACCTCAAGGGTGTCCAAACCTGAAACCAAATAAGGATTGCCATTTCACTATTCGTATTTAAAACCAAACCAAAAAACCCAAACCAAAACAAACAAGAAACTCCCTTGTATTTGAGACTGCTTCAGGAGAAACTTGATCTGATTGCATATGTAACATGTAGGTGTGGTGGTAGAACTATCCTTTCTTCTTGCTATAATCTTTTCTTTATGCTTCTATTTTAACCTCTTTACCCCATTGCTCCGTTACTTTCTTTTCACCGCATGCTGCTATTCCTCTTCACCTTTTCCTGTTCCCCGTCCTTAATATTTTTCAGACATGTTCTCCTCTTCCCTAATGCATCTGTACTTATTTCCTTCCAAATCACAGGAGTTGGCTCCCTGTGAAGGACACCAGGCCACTAGCTGACTGCTGAAAAAGGCAGGCAGGCAGACACTGCTTTTGTGTTGACTCAATGACAATAAAAGTTCACAAAAGTGATCAGCGTTTTTAATTATGATGATGAAGATGAGCTTATAAAAGTAATACTAAATGTTGTGAATAATTTAAGAATTAAAACTGCTGCTCTGCTTAGGGTTTTTTCTGTATAGTCACCTGTTCTATCACTTTTCCTGATGGTGTCTGAACTTGCATACAGTGACTTTTGCCATCTGATAGCTAGCATCCACTTTCAATAAATTTGACCAAAGAATAGTGTTTTGTTTCAAAGATACAGTAACAGTGCTGAAGTTTTGTGAAAACAGATGACTGGTTAAAGGAGGTAGATCCAAATGTGTGTTTTCACTGAGGTAAGATCCCCAAACACAAAAAAATGCAACTGTCTTACCTGCAAGGAAGAGCTTCAGACCGTTACTGAAGTGAGATTACAGAAAATCAAGCTGGATTAAATAATGACAGCATAAGTTAATCAAATACAAAACTTTCATTTACTGTTGTAAATTGTAATGAAAATGTTTACTTAATTTGCTCAGTATTGGATTCAAAACTTTGTGGCACTGAGTTCTGTTATGTCTTGCACTGTGAAAATACCAATATGACATGTTTTAAATGGGCAACCTTGCAATTTGGACTGTCATTTTGTTCTTGGAATAAGAGAAAATGGATATTGGTTTGCCGTCTGGCTAATTTATACCATTTTTAATTTAAGGGGGCTTTTTTCCGTATAATATTCTGTCACGTCTCTAGTTTATTTCTCATCTTTCAAGGTAACAAGTCTTCAAGTGTTTCAATTCCAGATTGAAATCTTTCTTTACTCAGCTTTGCATTTCTTCAAGATTATAAAACATGAAATGCATAGTATTTTTAAAGGGGAAGACAAAGGCCAAGTTTTGAAGTTCAGAAATGTGTTTATTTGAGAAGTAGATAGTTAGGTAATTCTTAAGAATTAGTAGAGTTATTTTAATTCCATTTTTAATGATGCTAAATATAGCACTGGATGTAATATTTACATGTTTTCCATATATTTTCTCAGAAGCGAGATCAATTACAAGATGAAGAGGAAAGAAAGAGCTCCTGGGTTAGTCAGGAACGACAGAAAACACTGGACAGACTTCGCACATTTAAACAGGTAACAGAAGAAGAGTTCTTCTTTTCCACCAGTTTCTCTTGCAAAAGAAATTTTCACTCATTCCAGGACTATTACTACGCTATTAGCTATTCTTTGTCATTATGCAGTTAACTGTTCTTTGGAAAATTTACAACAACATATGGCATTGGTGGTAATTAATTCCTCTGGCCATTGCATTCCCAGTACTGTAGTAAGCTTCTGTGCACTCTTACATCTACACATTGTGACACGACACTTAATGAATGTTCCTAAAAGAAGTATAATGTAACTGGTATTTCCCACAAAGAGCATTACTGTCTGACATAACCCCACTACCACTGATTGCTAGAACACCTGCCAATACCTGCCCCTTCCTATTACAATTGAAGTATTAGAAAATGGGTAGAAATGGAATGAAGAGGAGGGAATAAGGAAAGGGGTGAAAGTGCAAGAAAACAGAGGCTGTATTAATTGGCAGAGACTTTTTTTGATTTTGCTGAATACATTAAAAAATGTTAGTATGAGACGTTTCTTTAATGGAAAGCTGTCTTGCTCAGCAGTACGCTTGTCGTGTCCTCATTGTTTGCAAGGCTTTTGAATTGTCTAGCTTCTGTAAATTAAAGCAAATTTACTTATTTTAACCAGCAACTGTTAATGAACTGACTTTATGTAAGAGCACATTTATATTGTTGTGAGCTTTATTGCTTTAGGCCTACCATAATTGTGTAAAATGTATTAAACCTGTCTTTCTGAAGCAGTTTAAATTTTGGATGAAACTAATATGAAAAAACAGATATTGAGGCAGCAAATTTAAGAACTAAATTAAAAATAGTTTGGAAAGTCTCAAAATGATTGATGTTTTCTATAGATACCTTTTTAAGCAGTATCATTCACATCTAAGGCCAGTGTATTAGGTCAGAGAGGACTTTGGTGCAGAGGGAGACATTGACCAGTTTTAGAAAAAGAAAGCAAGAGGGAATTTTGAATTTTAGTTTCCAGAAAAAACAATTTTGAATGTACAATCTGGTTCTTAGTGAAATCCTAGTTCTAACCCATGTATATCCCTGACTAGACCAATCATATGTAAATTGTAGCTTAACTAAGAATAAAAATTAAGAAAACAGATCATTTTTGCATAAGGGTGAGGATATATTTGCTTTGTTTTACATCCAGAGCAAAATGAATGAAAACAGCAGATGAATTCTACTTGTCAGAAAGGCAAACCCTAATGACAGGTACTTAGAATCTAGAATAGTGCATTGCATGTACTTACCTAATTCTCAGTAACTTACTCACTTTAGCGGTACCCTGGGCAAGTAATACTTAAATCAACCAGACTACGGCTGGCTCATGCAAGAAGAAAATGTGCAGCCAGCACAGTGTCCTGTGTCGATCAGCCTCAATCTTTGCCAGCAGCCATACAAATCCAAGAGAAAAGTGAAGTGGTGGAATTGGAAAATGCACTTCAACCTTTGCAAGTGCAGCAATCCACAAGCTTAGGACAACTTCAAGATACCTCGTTACCTCCCAACGGTGTTATCTCCGAACTGCCTCATGTTAGTACTTCTCCACTCACTAGTAACGAGCTTCAACCAGAGACTGTTACTGTAGCACCGCTTCCACCCCCTTTGCCTCCACCACCTCCGCCTCCACCTTTGCCCTCCAAGGAAGATGATAACAAATCCTTCGAGAAAAACGACAGCTTTGTTAAACGTCAGAGTGAGGAGAAGGGAGTCCAGCACTCTTGTGGTGTCCCACCAGCACATCTGTTTGACAGCAGTCAGCTAGTCAGTGCCAAGAAGAAGCTTAAGAAGACTGGTGAGCTAGAGGGTTTACAGAGGAGGAGAGGTAATGTTTTCATTTCTGTGTATTTAATTGTAATGCACATCAGTTCCTCTTTTGAAGCGCTCTATAGAAAAGTGTATGCTGTGATTCATTTATAATTATTAATGGGAAAGTTGTTAAATCCTTTTCAGTTGACAAATGTTGGCAACTCAATCAAATGTTAGGACCTTTACAACAGCGTGTGGTATACTTGTTCAGTTAGACAGAAAACACTTGTGAAGCTGACTTTATGACGTACCACGTTAGACTGGCTAGAAGATGGAGGTAAACATTGTCTAAAAGAATCTTTTCCTAGGTAATTTACAGCCAGTACTGCAAATATTATATGCTTCACCTGAGAGTGCAGTGTTTCTTTAATAACAGAATTTTACATAATTTATGATGTAGTAAAATGAATACTTGTCTTGGGACATAGGAAACCTTAAGAAAGCTTTCTTCAAGGTTTCTTCAAATTTTCATACAAAAATCCATAAACTGTCAAGTACCCTTGAGAGCTGAGTAAGAATATATACATTTAACTACAGCTGGAAATTAAATCTGCAATCATTCAGCAAAACTTGTTAATAAATAGTTAAAAGATGAAAAACTTCTTTGGAAACTAAAGAGAATGAATAGAACACAGGGCTGAGCTGGGAGATCTTGGTACAACTTGTTGGTTCTGTGCTGCTTGTTTTTAAGTGTTTATCCTTTATCCCATCTATAAAATGGGGACAATGGCAGCCATGTTTGAACAAAATAATCCTGGTGTTTTGGTGAAACATGCTATATTAGAGCAAAGGTTTTATTTGAAAATCAGAGAAGGGATTTTCAAAAGCACTCAGCTGAACTACTTTACTAGGAAGTTGCTGAGAAAAAGTACCTTGAGTGGGCCTTGATTCACACTGCTGTAATATGGCTGTAATATCATTTTATTAAAAATTCTATCTGGCTCTGTCAGTTACAGCTACAGAAAACATCCCTCCATTGACATTTTCCCTCATCCAGATAAAATCAAAATTAGAACTGTCTTCATCAATCAGACAGAAATAAAAATGTTTCCTCTAGAATTTTTCTTAAATGACTGAAAACCCTTGAAGCAACTGCACAGTTATAGAATTCTTAAGCTCTTATGAATCTTGCAGGTACCCTGTCGTAAGTTCATTATCGATTTTGATGCTGCTGTCCTCCATTTTTCTTCTTCTGTAGTTCTATTGTTTGTTTTTCTGATACCCATTTTATCTTGCAATTTTACATAAAGCACGTATTTTGTGTACAATTTGATATACATCATAAAATGACAAATATAAAACCAAATTATATCCTCCCTCTTAAGACTATTGTTAATGTCTGCAGCAGTGCTCTACCTGCTGCTCTGTATTCCCTGAGATGTTCCAAGTGTCTAAGTGGCTTCAGATATTTGTCTCTGTATGACAGATGAGTGTTTTACAATCCTTCCTTCCTCCTCCAAATGTAGAGTCCTGTATTCTTCTTTTATTTCTCTCTTTCCC